TTATAAATACTTTTTAAAATTTCAGGCAAATTTGCCTGGAATACGGTTTAAGAGATAACATTAAATATGCTAACTAGATTTAATATATCATACTACTGCAAAATATCTAATTGATAATTTTTTATAAGTTGTTTCATTAATTAAAAATTCAATCAAGAAAAAAAAATAATTAATCACCTTACCTTTACAAATTATCAAGATCAGTTAGAATCTAGATAAGTGACTAATGATATTGAGTTATCAAAGAAAAAATTTATACGATATAAATGTAAATTGCTCTAGAATTTATTTATTTATTTATCGATCAATTGCTACCAACTAATTAATTTTTATTATTACATATCTTCGTAGACATCTATATTCCAAGTATTTTTATTATAATAATTCAATTCATTATTTATTTCATAATCATCTGACACACCATCATCTAGCTTATAATCTTCTGGCTTACCATCGTCCAGCTCATCATTATTTGGCTCATTATCATCTGGTTTGCTATTATCTAGTTCATCATCTGGTTCACCATTATCATAATTTGACACTTCTTCGTCATCAATTGGCAATTTATTCAGGTGGTTTTCAACAATAGCTTTGAGGCGGTGTGACATTTTATTATCTTTGCTACTGTCAGGATCAAGTATAAGACCCAATGCTTCGAAAGATTTGACTAAAAGATTTAGGCTAATTTTTTTCCACATCTCTGATACCCATTCACCGACAAGCTTATATAAAGCTTTTTTTTGGTTTCCTTTCTTAGTATACATTTTTTTTCCTTTATCCATCTATTTGTCCTACCTTTTTCTCATTCCACTTTTAAAAGGTTTGTTTACAGAGACTTTCAGTAGCTGCAAAACACTAGTGGTTCCACTGGGTATTTCTAATACCTCCAAGCTTTTTGCATTCAATATATTAATTACTTCATCATAATTATGGCTATGATGTGCATTAACAAAAATGATATCTTTGCTTTTAAAAAATCTGTTCGGCCTGGCTCTAATAACTCGTGGAATGTATATGGAGATCATTAAATCTCTAGTCATATTTGCACAAGATGCTGTTGTTATTATAATATCTCACGGAAATTTGTCTTTTGGTTTTTTTTTTTCAATTTAAAAATCACTGTAGGTAGAAGTTTCCTCCCAGCTGCTGTGTATCCCAAAACTACTGTAAATTGTAACTTTTCATTGCCTGTAGTCTTAACCAGTATCTTACAAGCACCTTTAAAATTGATTGTCGAGTCCCGTGGCATGTCAAACCATATAGGTGTTTCATCGAACGATAAAATATACTTTTTTTTAATCACATACATTTTTTCACACAAAGTTTTAAGAAAATTTTTAATGATTACAGGCTTATCCTCAAAGATTTTTTGTGTTATCTAAGTTTGGGCACGTTTTACTAAATTATGTTGTTGTTTGAAGCATTTAACCCAACTGCATGAAAATTTTATATTACTAACAACCATAACTTCATCTAAATGTTTTGCTTCTTTTATAATCATTGATGTTGTTACTGTGCCTTTTTCTTCCCTCCTTTTTTTAATATATTCTAGCAGTTCCTTCTCCAATATAGGGAGTACTACTTTGTGACTGCGACCTTCAAGAATCTGCACTTTTTTTATATTTAAGTTTCTGTTATCTCTAATTTTTTTTAAGCTCCTTTTTTTTGCTTGTGCCATTCTTGAATATGTCTCTGGTGAATATTATAGTATAGAGAATCTTTATAGTTAGAGATGTTCTCTGCATACAAGATTACTTCAAGCTTAAATGTGATGATAAAACTTTATTTGGTATTCATATCTGCTTGTAAACAACTTGCACACCAAAATGATAAGATAGTGTTACATTTTATATCGTAAACATTCGTGATACAAAAAAACAAAATAAAATTTACATACAAACTACGCCATAATCTACTTCCAGATTTTTCAAGGCCGATGCATTACTTGGTTCAATTTTTGATGACTTAGTTGAGTCTTTAAGTGGTTTTCTGTACTTCTCATAATATAGTAGGTTGCTTTATTTTTTCTTATTAAAGATGTATTATCAATAATAAGGCAGCGTTGTAAGTAAATTATTACAAGAATAAAGAAAGTCTTGAACAAAAATTTTGTCTTCCTACAAAGTTGAACCATTTGTTTTTAAAAAAAAAGTCATTAGAGATTTGGAAAATAGCAAGAGTTAAATACAATTTTAAAGTGAACTGTAGTGTTACATAGTATCAGTGGATTACTGGATTATGCCAAGAAAAAACTGAAAATTACAATTTTAGAAAATTTTCACAAGAAATACCCATTATCATTATTGTCAAATCATCTTTCTTTTTGGATATCCTTACATAAGCCTTTTCAAACGAATTTAGTAAATACGTATAGGATCGAGACATAACCGCATCAAATGAATCAGGTACAATGTACTGAAAAGTAAAAATAGTAGGTACTTGACTCTAATATCAGCCTTTTTTTTTTAAATAAAAATTATCATCATATAGTAAAACCTCTCTAAGTGCACGCACGTGGGCCCAGAATTTAACAATATGCACTTAGAGAACAATAAGGTGCATTTACAGAGGTTATGTATACATTTGGGCCAGAATCTGCGTATGCTTTTAGAGAGGGTGTGCACTTGTAGAGTGTGCACTTAAAGAGTTTTTATGCTTTATAATTGTCGTGAGTTCAAGCAAAAAATCGACCTTTCAAGAAAAATACTAATGCCTAAAACCAAGTGCAATTCCCTTATTTAAATAAAATTAATAAATTGATAAACTTTTTGATCAACGTCATAAGGATCTGAGAAACCATTAGAACCCAGATGCGATAAAATAGCATTTTAATAAAATAAAAAAAAAATTAGAAAGGTGAAATTTTGGTAAGTAAAATCAAATAGTCCAAATTATTAAACTATATATTAATTATAGCAGACCATTCTTAGTTCTATGCTTTATTCGAAAAAGACCTTCATATTCTGTCACTTTAAATCCCTTTATGCAAAATAATATAAGCTTGATGTTTTACATTCCCTATTAACAATGCTATAATAACTAAAATAGTTCTATTTTTTATAAATAAAAAATTCAGTTAAGTAAAAATATATATTTAAGCAATTTTAAAATACATTCAAAATAACTTATCTTTTAAATATAATAAAAATTGACAGTTTAGAAATACTACTATTTATATATTTTAAACTCAACTCTACATACCTCAATATAAATTTCTATATTATAACTTTCGTCTATAGAATAATATCAAGAAACTTACTGAATTTATAAGGCTGTAAATTACAGATTATATAACGTATATAGACCTTCTATATTTATTTTAAAATAATGCACATGTGCATTATTTTAAAAATCAGATTTGGTAAAAAATTAATCTATGCTTCAAATTAACGCACATGCACATACTCAAAATAATGTGCATATACTTAAAATAACGCACAGATAAGCATTATAATGCGAAAATACGGTAAAAAGAAAAGCTAAAAGCTGGAATTTGATGTTCTTTTATACCAAAGAACAAAAGTTTGCTTATAAAATCTACTACTAAAAGAAATATTAGGAGATAACAAACTTAAAAAAGACATTCAAAGACTAACAAGGAATCAAATGAATATATATTGGGAATTAAATAAATCAATAATCTTTAGACTTATAAAATACATCAATAACAACCCTAATAAAAATTTTTAGAATTACAGAAATTAAAATATCATACAACTACAAGACACTGAGAAACTAATATCATGAATTACTATAATCTTTTTAATTAGAGTCAACAACTTAATTATGAAGAAGATAACAATAATCTAGAATCTTTAGAATCATTAACCTTTACCAGAAGAGAAGCAAACCAAATGCAAGCAGCTATAGAAGGAGAATTATTTGAAATAACTGATGAAGAAGAAAAAAATAATAATAAAATAAGAGAAGAAAATCAAATTCGACAAGTAGTAGAAGTCTCATTACAAGAAATATACTAGTACAGTATACACATTTACATGATACTCTATATACAGTAATCATTTACGCAAAACCGTGCTATGCTGACCCAAAAGCATTTTCTAATAGCACTTTTAGCTTGAATGCTTTGCTACTCAAATCTAGATTTTTACGCAAAACAGACATGAACTCGCAGAGATATCACATTTTCTGAAAATATTAATAGTCACGTTTTTGTAAATTTATCTCTGACTTCAATTGCTTCCAGAAGCACTTTGGCCAAATGAAACCTCTATATATGCAATAATTGTGTTTGTAGGTATGATCTTCAACCCTTTACGGTTTAAATTTTAGCCTGAACAGACTGATATTCGTGGAGATATTTGATTTTACATTAGTGTACTGTAGACAGTTTTTTTATAATTCTTTGTAATGAAAGTGCTGAAAATTCACGGTACCTACACTGATTTTTGTATGTTCAGTCTTAAGTGAGTGCTGCGTATTAACAAACATGTTAGAGAACTGTTAAAATTTTGCTTTCCAGAATTTGACACATTTCGGACAAAAACTCATTATGATATCGAATTTTTTCATTCGACTCTTGTGTAAAATCATCTTTTCTTAAAAAGAATATATGCATTTTGAAGAATGCCCAATATATAGCGATCCTTTACGGAAAAACCCACTATGCCACCCTCAAGACATTAATAACAGAACTTTTAGAGTGAATGATGGACTACTAGAATCTCAATTTTTACAAGAAACGGACATAAACTCGCACAAATATTACATTTTCTGTAAACGTGAATGGTCACGTTTTTGTAAATTTACCTCCGAATTCAATTGCTTTCGGAAGCACTTTGGCCAAATGAAACCTCTATACATGTAATAATTGTGTTTGTAGGTATGATCTTCAACCCTTTACGGTTTAAATTTTAGTCTGAACGGACTGATATTCGTGGAGATATTCGATTTTTACATTAGTGTACTGTAGACGGTTTATTTGTAATTCTTTGTGATAAAAGTGCTGAAAATTCATGATACTCCACCCTAATTTTTGTATGTTTGGTCTTAAGTGAGTGCTGTGTATTAACAAACATAATAGAAAACTGGTTAAAATTTTGCTTTCTAGAGTTTAGCATATTTTGGTTTTGTTTTGATGAAAATATTTAGATTTTTCATTTGTATATTATATAGATATTTTTTTATTTATTAATAAAAAAAAATTCTAGTAAGTATTTAATTACCTACTAGAATTTTCTTTATGTAAAATTAAAAATGACAAGAACAATAACTTCTAAAACCTGTTTTTGAAAATTTAATTTTATTTTATATGAAAGACTTAACACTATTCGTAAACATATTGATAATATTTTTAGAAAAAAAACATGTCATTTTTCAAGAATAAAACTTCAACTTGAACTAAATTGCAAGTTCTCAGAACCTGGATATTATCATGGTCAAGGTTTTGCTAAACTTAGAAAAGGCAAACAATTAGAAATTGGTTATTATAATTCTAATACTAAAGAGGGTGCTGGAGTAAAAAAAATATTTCAAGCAAATCTTTATCTAGACTTTGTTGATGAAACAGATGATCAATGCTTGGCATATACAGAAAAAGATTAAGATAGATATAAAAATCCTGAACATCAACTATGCAAATATGATTTTTTTGATCTTTTCAAAATATGCAAAAAAGTGTAATAAGTTTTGTAAAAGACTATTTGCTCGAATTTAAAGATCCTGAAATTGCTAATCCTTGGAATGGATTTTTAATGAATCTGACTATAATTTAGATTTAAAAGATGAAGAAGTTCAAACAAACCCTTATGAGATAGCAACTGAAGAAGTACTAAAAGGGGAAAACATTGATAAAGTAATTACTAAATATATATCTTGTAAAAAATGATCACAAACATCTCAAGGATTAGAAAGAATTGCTAAAGCTATTAAGAAACAAAAAATTAATCCTTTAAAAAATATTAAACAATTTTGGAAACTATGTATAATCTATATCTATTGAGATACTGGAACAGAAAAAAGTAAACTTTGCAAAGATTTATTTCTCAGAATATATGAAAAAGATGATATTAAACAATTTGAAGAATATAATAATGAAGAATTTAATTATAACTGTGATAATACAATTTTGTTAGATGATTTTTATGGATTAAATATTATATGAACAAATTTTTTAAGATTAACTGATCATAATCATTGCCAAATAAATGTCAAATATGGAAAAACACATATTGTAGCTATGTATATTTGTATAATAACAAATGGCTCAATTGAAAATCTTTATAAAAAATTATAAGAATCTAATTCTTCTATTAATACTGATATATTTATTCGAAGAGTTAGATTTATAATAAAATTTGAAGGCAACTCTATAGATACAAATGGAAAAAGAGATATTATATGTATTTTTGAAAAAGGAAATAAGCAAGACTTTAATAATCAAATATTTGATATTGAATTTAATAAAAGAACAACTTTAGAACAGGCTAAAGAAGTTACTACAGATTTAGGAGCTGATAGAATAATATTATATGATCCTGCAACAGGATTGTATTATTGGAGACAAAATTGGACAAATGAAATAAATAAATATTCTACTACTAAGAATATTAATGATATTACTGATCAAATTATGACTAATATTCCTAAATCAAAGCCTGGAGAATGAGTAATAGCTTTTTCAAGTAATATAAAATATCAAACTACAAAAAGAAAAATTAATATAGATGAAGCCATATTATCAAAAAAACAAAAGCTTAATAATAATATCAATAGCCAGCCTGAATCAAGTACTGCTGTTACAGAAAAAAAATCAAATAATCACTATAAAGAATTAATATCAAAATCACATGTTGATTTAGATATTAATAATGAATATAATTTATTACTATCGAGATATAATAGCAAAGACTTTGACTATATTAAAGATAAAAAAAAAAAAACAAGATAGCTAAAAAACAAAAAACTAATTTATTTACTAATGAACTTGAAATTAATAATGAACAACTTCAAATTCAACAAAATTATCAAGAATCATTAAACAACAAAATACAAAAACTTGATAATTTTAATTATACAGAAGATGTCAAATTAGATATTGGAGAGGAAGAACTTTATGAACAATTTATATATGAAAATAAAAACAATTCATCATATCAAGGCTTGAGTAGATTATTAAAAAATCTTTAAATATTATTATTGTATTAAATTATTATATTATTACTATTGTATTAA